CGCTTGCCTGCCGTGGCAGCGGCCTCAGGCTGTCTCGGGCGGTGCAGCTGCCACCCCCAGCAAGTGGCAGTCGCTGTGTGAGCAGGTGAGCGCCCCTTCTCCCCCCACTGACCTGGCCCTGACCACACTGGCACTTCTGCCTGCCAAACATAAGTCGGTTGGGGTTACACATTTTTCACTGTCTTGTCCAACACAAGTTTGATTGACAAAGTTTTGCCAACGGCAGTGCCAGTGTGGACCTAGCTTTAGTCCCTCCTGTTCTCTGCCTGGGACATGTCATAGTCTAGTATTCTCAGAAGAGGCAGCCATATTTTGGTTGTTGGGTTTAGCCTGTGGTTCTGGATGTGTTGGTGGCCTGTGGAATACAGAAGGTTGAACTAAACTATTTGGTGGTCCTTTCAGGCCCTTAAACTATGATTTACAGGTGTGAGTTCAAGACCCTTTTCCAATGATAAATTATTCAAACAAAGTTGAAGTTTCAACAGGACAGATTAAGAGATCCACTCCAGAGTACCCAATAATAAGTGTTATGGGCACTCTCCTGAAACATGAGAGACTTGAGTTCTCACCTCAGGCAAATGAAACCCTTGATTCAGAATTCCCTCACAGCCTGGGTAAGTGCCCTACCCACTGGGCTGAAGTTTATAAGGGGACACCCTGTTATCTTGTCTTCCTTATGTTTTGTTTATTGCATAAAAGGGCTTAGATGGGGAGAAGGTTCATGGCTTTGAAGCCTAAGCAGACAGGTGTCTGCTTCCAGACCAAAAGTACATGCCTATGTTTCTTTGAGGAGTGGGGCACCATGAATTTTTATCTGAAATAATTAAAATATAATGGAGTGTAAATTTTAATATCTTGAACATTAAAACTTTTAAGGGGAATTGTAAAAACGTGTCTTTATATTTGGTACTCGTAGAGTGCTCTGTTACCATGGTGTTGTACAAAGATTGTCTTAGCACCCCAATGTAGTAGGTAAGTAAGTATTTGTGTTACACATGGAAAGGGAAGAGACAGAGAGGTTGCATAGAGTCAAAAGTCCACACAGTGAATTAATGGTAGATTGGCATTTTAATTTATGTAGTATTTACACACCAGGATTGATGCCGATCTCTAAATCGTGCTGTATAAATACATTAAATAATTCAACTTTCTGCTGCCTAAAAATAACGCGCACAGACACATTTTGAAAGGAGCTAGCCTACAGTTTTGCATGTTCACTTTTGCTGGTACTTTCCTGATTATCCTTCCAAATCAGTTGTACGGTGTATCTAAATGCCATAATTAACACTATATAATTTAAAATGGTTGTAATTTACCTCTGCTATCATTTCAGATTATGAAAAATACATTAATTTTATTTTTTAAAATCTTTCAGAAAAATGTTGCCAACCACCTCCCAAAACCAGGGTAATGGTGCCTTAAACTCCAGGGATGCAGCAAGACATACGGCTGGTGCAAAACGATATAAATACCTGAGGAGGCTCTTTCACTTCCGACAGATGGACTTTGAGTTTGCTGTTTGGCAGATGCTTTACCTGTTCACTTCACCACAGAAAGTTTATAGAAACTTTCACTACCGGAAACAAACAAAGGACCAGTGGGCAAGAGATGATCCTGCTTTCTTGGTGTTACTGAGTATCTGGCTGTGTGGTGAGTGTCAGTTTCCGTGATCAGCAAAAATGAGGTGGGCAAAGAGGAAGAATTGGGCACTAGCCTAAGATTAATGAAGCCTGGGTTCAGGTTCTTGCTCTGCCATAGACTTTGTGTAACCGTGGGCAACTCATTTCATCTCCCTGTGCATTACTTCTCCATCTGTAAAATGTGGTTATTAGTAGTTCTCAAGCTTACATGAGCGTTGTGAGAATAAACACATTAAAAAGTTTGTGCGCGAAAATATTACAGTGAAAATGGCTATTTATGTACCTAATATAGAAGAGTTTTTTCTCTTCTCAATACAATTGCTGGAATGTACCTTTGCAGGATTTTTTTAGCACTCTGGGTCTTTTATTGTAGAGGCCCTTAATCAGAATGGAAAAGCTGAAGAGCTCTTTAAATCAAAGGATACAGTAATCATTAGGAATTAGAGAACCCAGGGTAAATCGGCTGGCTGTATCTAGAATCCTCTAAGATTATTTATATTTATTATAATCGAGTCTTGCCTCTGTTCTGTGTTTTGAAACTGCATGGGTTTCAACATAAACAATGAGAAGTCCTGTGTCACCTTATAGACTAACAGATTTATTGGACCGTAAGCTTTCTGGGGCAAGGACCCACTTTGTCAGATGCATGACATGTCTCTGATGAAGTGGGTCTTTGCCCATGAAAGCTTATGCGCCAATAAATCTGTTAGTCTATAAGGTGACACAGGACTTCTCATTGTTTATGCGGATTCAGTTTATGCGGATTCAGACTAACACAGCTACCCCTCTGATACTTGTTTGGGTTTCAGTAATTGTCAAAGGAAGACAACCTCATGAATGAATGAGTATTCTTTTATTTTAAAAATAATTTAATATTTGTATGATTAGAAAATGGGATGTGCAAGCATAGAACAAAAAGACAGTCACTAATGTTGAACCCATTACATGCAAAGTACCCCTTACAAGAACTCTGTCCTTAGTCCCATTCTGTCTCCCTCTACACCTTATCTGTGGGTCATCTTATCCACAAACACAAATATGCTGACAGCTCACAGATCTACCTTTCTACCCCCAACCAGTCTTTCTGTTCAAACTAAAATCTTGAATTGTGTGTCTGACATCCCTCATAGATATCTATTTGCCAGCTCAAGCTAAGCATGACTAAAACAGAGCTCCTAATTTTCAATCTGCCTATTCCTTCCTACTACCTCCTGACTGGGGAAAACCTCACTATCATGACTGTCATTCAGAAATATAACCCAGATATCATCTTGACTCAGATCTTTCACTAGGTCTAAGGATAGGCCTTTCTTATCCATCTGCACAGCTAAAACTTGTCAAAGATGTCATCATCTCATGTTTCAATTACTGTAACATCCTCTCTGTCCTTGACAAATACAGTCTTGTCTCATGCCTATCCATTCATAATGCTGCTGAAAAGATCATTTTCAAAGCCTGCAATTTGACCATGTCACCCACTTCTCTCTTCAAATCCCTCCACTGGCTGTCTCTTTGCTATCACATCAAACATAAGCTGCTTGTGATCACTTTTGAGGCTCTTCATGGTGAGTCCCTAATCTACCAATCATCTCTCGTTCAACCTCCCTATACCTTCACTATTGTCTCATTGTAGACTCCACCTGTTTTTATCTATTTGCTGTCTCTTATCTGATACTTAGCTTGTAAGCCCCTTGGGGCAGAGACTCACTGTATGGCACCTAGCACACTGGGGTTGTGGTTTACAACTAGGGATCCTAGGTACTTTTATAATACAAATAATAACACTAATGACCAAAACCATAAGAAGACATTGTGTACTTCAGGCAAATTTCTGTTCTGTTGCTCTTTTAAAAAGCAAGAGGGGAAACATCACACTCAGTCCATTTTTGACACAGCACAATATCTGCAGTCATATCAGAGCTGTTACTTCTGAAATTCTAATGTTCTTGTGGTTGCATGGGAAATATTTTCTAGATCCTTTTGTGTTTCATGGACATTTTCCTGAAACTGCTAAAGGAAGTCCATAAACTGTCTTTTGTATACTGCACTTTCATTCAACTAAAATGGACTGGAAATCTGAATGCCCGTGTTAAGGACAATACACTATCATGTGGTTTTGTGTAACTGAAAGCAATGTGTCTTCTGGTCTGCATATTGCTCTTATTCTGTACTTCTGCTTAAAGTATATTCTTCAAAAAAAGTTGTTTTAAAATGTGAGATTAGTTCAATGACAGCTTCCACATACTGAATATAAGCCATACACAGTATACACAAGTGGTATGGTATGCAGCATTTGAAAAGAAAAAGTGGCTGTCTTGTAGAAGTTCTTAGAGGTAAGGAGGGAAAAAGGGGAAAACGTTAAGGCTTCAGGAAACCTCCTCCAAAGGGTTACCATTGGAACATCAAAGTTGTGAAGGATTGGCATTGTATAGTAATGCAGCATTTTTCCAGATTGGAAGGATTAATCTCTCTCCTTTTCCTCTTCCCCTCTCCAGTGTCCACAATAGGATTTGGATTTGTGCTGGATATGGGATTTTTTGAAATGATAAAGCTTCTTCTTTGGGTTGTGTTTATTGACTGTGTGGGTGTTGGCCTTCTAATATCAACTTTAATGTGGTAAGTAAATAATTCCATCTAAAACGAAGTTGTACATTGCTATAGGGCAGTTGAAATTTCCCTGCTGCTGAGGCATTGTACTTTAAACTATATTACTTTGCTCAGACGAGAGGATTAAGAGTTTTCATTGGTTGTGAATAGAGTGCCACTATTGGGAAAGAACACTAGTAAATGTGTACTTCACTTGACCTCCTCCTGCAAAAACCGGTTAACTTAAAGGAAATTTGTCATTTGTACGCTGCCCTATATTTTCTTGCAGAGTTGGTCTTCAACAATGCTAGAGGGATCAAGACATTTTTTTAATTACTTTGTTGGGCTTTAATAAATCACATTCTTGTAAACATGTGGTTACTTGTTTGGTATTCTCATTGTATAATGGGACACTGTAAAATCAACCCACTCTTCTGCGGAACCGTTTTAGCTATTGTCACAAGTAATTCCTGAGGTGACGATAACTGTTTATGCATTTGTCGGCTTCTCTGCTCCTGCGGTCACTATCACTTTTTGTCTCCTGCCAGATCATGACATCAGTATTATGCCCTGTTCTGGAAAGAGTTCATATGCAGGCTCTTTTCCAGGCCTGGGAAGAGGATGTCTTTCAGATCAGTGGGTGGGTTCCCCTGTTCTTCAGACCATTGCAGGAGCCTGGGAAAGCAGTTGAGAAACTTCCTTTTTACCCAAACCCTTCCCTTTGGGACACCTGCACTGAGTGGTAGTCACTTTTCTTCGTTATCCATGGTGCCCTGTATGTTATTGGGAGGGGAACTTAATTCTCTCCCTTGAGCCACAATAAAATGGATGAGGTAGATGACATACAGCAGATAGGTTCTTTCCCTCTACATTTCTCTATGGTGTGAGGGGAAACAGGCCCCTTTACTTGCTCCCCTCTCCATCATGCAGTGGAAATTTGCCTAGGAAAATTAGGTTAAGCTATGGAGTTGGTGGGTAATTTTACAACCAGAAACCACGTCTGCCCTCCTTTATATTTGGATGCAGCAAATTTCATGCTCATATCAAAAATCCATATTAAGTATTTTGTAGACTTTTTGGTGGTGAGACATTTATTAAATGAGGTAACTTGGGTGCCTTCTGTCTGTAAAATTGAATGCAATCAAGATATATTTTTAAAGGAAACTGGAATATGTAGGCTAGGCCTAGCCTTTTTTGGGAAGTCAGTGCTTGGACAACTGATAGTTCTTCAGTATCTTGTAATTACACCAGCAATCTTTGCAAAAGGAAGCTGCTGCCCTCCTGTGCACAATGTTTGCACTTTCTACTAAGCACCAAAGAGTATAACTACTTCTGAGAGAGAGATGGGCTAACAAAAGGCTCGTCAGCATTGTCTTTTTTTGTAGGCTACTATGCTTTCTTTACATCTTAGAGAAACAATTCTCCAGACATGTTTGAAAGCACTGTAGTTATGAATTAAATGGAAAAGATTTGAGTTTTTTTCCAATTACTTTAATTACCAGTGGTGATGTCAAATCAACGTTATAACTTTAGAAAATATGAAGGTGCAAAATTTTTCACAACTTTATTTTTTTCCAAATAGGTTTATTTCTAATAAGTACTTGGTAAAGCAACAGAGCAGAGACTATGAGGTGGAATGGGGATATGCTTTCGATGTTCATCTGAATGCTTTCTATCCACTTCTAGTCATTTTGCATTTTATCCAACTGTTTTTCATCAATTGTGAGTAAAGCATCTTTTTCCATGCTTTTTGCTATGGTGTAGGGCATCAGGCAGCTAACTGAGAGCAACTGTCTTCTCTCTTACAGATGTTATCTCATCAACCTCATTTGTGGGCTATTTTATTGGGAATACAGTATGGCTGATTGCAATTGGTTATTATATCTATGTAACATTTCTAGGGTACAGTGGTAAGTAATTTCTAAAACTACTCTAATTTGTGAACTCATAAGTATGTAATGATCATCTCTTAACTAGGTATGATAACTAGTCGACTAGTTGCTTCCCTGCCTTGCTGCCTCTACTAGAAAGAACAGGGGGTGTGGAAGAGGTGGGAGTGCTCCAAAGTGATGGCGCTGTGGCTTTGAAATACCACAAGCAGTCTGGGCCATCCCCAGCTGGCTTGGGCTGCATATGACACTTCAAAGTGGTAGTGTTGCATGGAGCCCAGAGTCAGCCCATACGGCGCTGCTGCTTTGAAACACCATGTGGAGTCTGACGCTGGCAGCACCGTGTGGCGCTTGGGTGAGGTGGGGACTCCCTAGCTGACCCTGGGCTCCATGCAGTGCTGCAGGGAGCGTAGAGGACTGCTTGAGTCCCCCTCTGACCCCATGCCCCCTGCAGCACTTTTGCCTTTGAAGTGTAGCAACAGCCCTGAGCTTTGCTGCACTTCAAAGGCAGAGGTGCCCTTAACTAATTGAATAGTTGATGCAAATGGCATTGAATATTTGATTAGTCAGTTAATCAAAATTTTATATTCCTACTCTAACAGAAGTAGAAAAATTCAGTGTGGATTTACTTTTAAACTATCCCTTCTAGACAGATGTCTTCTAGTATTCACTGTATAATGAAGCAGTTCCACATGCTCCCTGGGCAGATTCATCCATATTCCATTAACATTTTTCTGAACATAGCTTTTTCCCCTGTTTCTTTCTAAACCTAATATTGCCTCTGTCCTTGGAGTTAATTTGTAATCCTTTGCCGAGCATGCTAGGTATTCCCTTAACTAAGTGTCCAAACTGGATTAATGTTTATGCTTGAAAGATTTATGTGGTGTTAAAACACTGCACAAGAGATTACTAATTGATGCTGGCCATTGTATTATACTAGCAAACCTCAAGACCCATATTAGTTTTGGACTCTGACTAAAGAAGTTAGTAATGTACTGAAATCATTAGCAGGTTGGCTTTATTAATATACACAGATCTATCTCAGTTACTCTTTTACTCCGGTAGAAGCTATTCTATATCTAGGCAAAGGGCTACAGAATCAGCATGGCAGGGCTGGCTGACTGGAACGCACTTTTAACCAAGCTGTTAAATTGATAGAATGCTGGCATTGCAGCCTCTCTCCAGGGTTGTCCTAGATGCAACAGTTTATGGCTTTGGTCCACTAATTCACCTAACTGCTGGTTTTAAATTTTGCAGTCTGATCATAATTTTATTTCTTTTCTAGCATTGCCATTTTTGAAGAACACTGTTATCCTTTTGTATCCATTCGCACTCTTAATTCTGCTGTATGTGCTCTCATTAGCACTGGGATGGAACTTCACCAAGACACTTTGTACTTTCTATGAGTTCAGAGTGAAATAAAAACAGGACTTCATATATCTGTCTAGTTTCTTAGCTGCTGGGAGCCTGAACAGCTGAGATCTTGTAAATGGTTGTAAATTTTGTCTTTGTAGATAAGTGTAAAGAGCTTTGTGTCTACTGCAATTTTTAATTAAAATATTTACAAACAGTAAAAATGTTAATTGTGTATGAATACTTTTGCAGTACATTCCTAGACAAACTGTCTGTACTTTTTTGTAATATCCCATAAAAAAACATCAGTGAGAATTAAGTAAGTTAGTGGATGAGGTAGTCAGATGATGGTAATTATAAGTCACTTTGAAGAAAAAGTGGTTGGTGTATTATTGTGTATACTGATGTTGAATGCTTCTTTGGTTCAGTTACATTTAATGCCTGCTGCTGAGGCACATTCTCTAGCTATTCACATATTCTATGGTCTTAGTTCGTACAGTGCATGAGCCATGTTTTCCCCTCCTAGCTGCTGGAGTCAGCCACAGCAAGGGTTCCTGCATCTGCATAGGAGGTGAAATTGAGCCCACCATTATGGATCTAGAAAGGTTCAACCAAGACCCTTGTCTGTATTTTAAGGATACTGACTTAAGTCAGTGATTTTCAAAGTATGGGTTGCAGCAAGTAAGGGAATGGGCTACTTTGCTGTAGGGTGATGAGTGGGGGTGCTAAGGTCAGCTTTCTCCTTGTCCTGGCACTGCAGACCATACTGTACCCTAGAAACAGTCAGCAGCAGGGCAGGCTCTTGAAGTCCATCCACTGTTGCTTGGCAGTGCCTAGAACCAGAACAGGAACCAGCCAATGGGTGTGTGGAGCCAGAACTTGGGCAGCCTGTGGAGCTGGACCTGCTGCTTGTCCACTATTTCAGGACAGATAGGAAGCCTGCCTTACCATCCCACTGATTCACTGACTGGGAGCTAGTGGAGGGAAGCCTGTGCCCCAACAATCTTCTGTCCCACACCTGAACCCCTCTCAAGGTAGAAACCCTTCCTGTACCCTCAACACCTCATCCTCATCACTCAGCCTGTGCTCCCTGTACCACACTTCCCTACTAGGGATATTAAAATTATATGAATCAACTAATCAAATAGTGGATGGAATTTCCATTGACTATTCAATTAGTCCATAAGGGTGTTCCTGCTTTGAAATGTAGCAAAAGCTGCCTGGCTATTGCTACATTTCAAAGGCAGAAGTGCCCTGGTGTTCTGCCTTTTAAATGCATTTCAAAGATTGAAACTCTGCATGGAGCCCTGGGGCCAGTGGAGAGTCCCCCACTGGCTCCAGGCTGTGCTTTTGCTTTGAAATGTACAAGAGCCCCAGCATGGATTCTTGTACATTTCAAAGGTGGAATGCTGCTGCTGCAGCCCTGCCCCCTCCCAGGGAGCTGGAGGGAACAGGCTTTTAAGCCAGCTCCCCCTCTTCCTGATAGAGGCAGCCCAGGGAGGGGGGAAGTGACTAATCACGTATATTCTTATTCCATACACCATCTTAAATCCCTCTGCCCCCCTTCTCAGCCTGCACTCTAGTCAAAAGATACAATTATGCTGGGTCACAGGCATCAACTAGATTGTGAGAAAAAAAGTTTGAAAACTACTGACAAGTGCAAAAAGGCAGAGATGGTGAGTGAGAGAAAGTACTCCCATAGCAAGCACCTCTACACATTCAGCATAAACTATTTTCCCCCTTTTCTGAGTGGCTGCTCCAAGTCCTTCCCCCTCTCCACCTCACACATTTCCATTATCTAGTGCTAAGCAAACTCACCCTTCCAAAGTGTGGAATTGACAATTGTTCATTCTGCTTGTATTCCACCCCTTTACCATGTGTCTTGTCTATGTAAGCTTAGGAACAGGGACTGTGTTATTTTCAGACAGGGCCTAGCACAATGGAAGTATTGTAATAAAGATTAACTTTTTCACAGCCTTTCATGTTTGAAATTTGGACTCACTTTAAAATATTGCTACACTATTAAAGCAACATATTGGGTCTCTTAGGGACAGAAGTCTTATCAGTTTATACAAGAACTACAAAACAGTTTATTTTAAAGCCTTTATTTCAAATATACATGGACAGCTGTGGCACATAGAAACATTGATGAAAGGCACAGTTGACATGACCCATATCAGGGTATCAAATATAGCAGCAAGTTTTAAACAAAACTAGCCAATTTATAAAAATCTATTATAGCGGCTAATGTGGGTTTGGTTAATGAAAACATGGGGGGGAAGTGTACAGATTAAGTTTAGCCAGAAAATGTTTTAGGACTGTACTAGATTCCACAATGCAGGAGTACACACAGACATCCTCCCTCTCTTCCCCCAAAAAGAACCTGAAAATGAAGATGGCAATTTTCTAAAAGTAGCGCTCAGTATCAAACTCAAGCACCAGATTTTCATTTCAAAAGATATTAAACAGTAAACTAGTTACAATAAGACTTCAATAGCTGATTACCAGAATTTGAACTAAGAAAAAACTACATTTAATTTAAAATACCTAAATCTGGTGGCAGTTCATTTTACAGTACTGTATCAACCACTGTTAAGATTTGAAGAGAATGTATTCCAAGTTATCTATTGAAATCTCAGCAAACACTGCTCAACAGGGAAAAAATGTACCATTTCAACAAGTAAAGCACTAAATATACCTTTGATCCTAGGGGGGCTGGGAATTCCTGTTGTGATCAGCTGCAAACTGGCACAATGAGAGCTCCTGACCTGCAGGCAGCCACCAATTAACACTTGTTAAAAAAGCAACCCTTCCTTACATCATAGGAATGTTTAGCACCAGTGATGATTATGCTAACTACCATTAAAGTTAATAGTAATGGTGTTTTTCAATTAGGACTTGATTCTGCACCAATAAAATTAATGGAAGTAGGATAACTGCCTGTCATGTAAAGATACCAAAATCTGTCCCCTTGAAACAAAGTTTCATAGTTCTCAACATTAAGCTAACTCTAGCTCAATGCTTACAGTAGAAATCACAAAAAACCCATTCAAGAACACAAATTAAGAAACATGATACATAATGACATTCTTGGTGTATTCACACCAATCAAATTCCATTTCTAAAAGCAGCAGCATAGCAGTAGGACAGCGTTTTGGTATTAAACTATAACACTTGCAAATATGAATGAGCATAACAATACTTTAAAAAAAATTTTAGTCCAATTTGTAAAGGATCCTTGTTAATAAGAAACCTAAAACTTAAGGACACGCTTGATTTCATGAACAATGGTATTAGAAAGAATTTGTATTCTTGTTTTCAAAGGAAAGCACAGATTAGAAGCACAAGATATAGATTAATACTATACTCCTTTTGGAGCAGATATTTCCAACACAAATATCAAGGAATTACTGAAGAGATTTTATCCTTGCTGGGAAAAAAGTGAAGGAAAAATGTACAAAACTGTCTAGTCTTAGTAAAAGACTAAACAATCTCTCAACATAGTCAAAGCCTAGCCAGTATCTTACAAGAGACCCTCATGATATTCTAGACTAAATTTTCAAAAGGCTAAATAAAAGGAATGATGGGATGAGAATTCTAATCTGGTCCATTACTACTACTACCTACCTTGAACTTTGCCAAATCACCATGGGTAGAGAAGAAAAAACATTTATCCCTATGACTATTAATAATAGTTTTCAATTAATGCAAATAAAAGGTTTATGTCTCTAATAGAGCAGAAAGCCTAAGTTGTTTTTTCAAAAGCACACTTGTAATCTAAGATGTTTTGACATGGAGCCAAATCCTGCTTACATTACTTACTCACACAAAGATCTTCAACAAGACTATTAGGGCATGTCTGCACTAGGAAATTACTTCAAAATAACTTATTTTGAAATAACTCCCACAATAACTATTTCAAAATAGCATGTCCACACTACAGCCTTAAAATTAGTCCAAGGCAGGCTCCCTTAATGTGGACATACTACCTCAATTTAGAGCCCCACGAAGCACTAGGAAGTAATTACTTTGAATGACTCTGGGGAGTAGTTATTTTGAAATACAAGCAGTGAAGCATCCACACTCCCGCTATTTTGAAATAAGTTATTCCTCATGGAAAACAAGAATAATTATTTCGAAATAATGGGCTTGGTGTAGTGTGGACACCCAGCTTATTTTGAAATAACTCCCTAGTGTAGACCAGCGCTTAGCAAGACAAACAGAATTTAGCTATGAATAGACCAACTCTTCACAACTGCTGTGGGCCCTGCTAAAGGTCATCTGTTCAAAAAAGCCAGTATTTTAAGAAAGAGCTCTAACTGGCATCAAATCTGGTGATTTAAAACTTAACTTGATCAGAAAATTAAGCTGTCTGGAAATGCAAAAATATGTCAACTCTTTCGAAAAAGCTTTACATTTCCTTAAGCTACATAACTACAGAAGAAGCTAATACCACTCAATCTACTGGAAAGCAACAATAGGTTTTATTCTCCAATACTGTACAGAAGTGCTTACGGCTGAACTTAAAGGTCACTGAAAATGAAAATGTGGAAAAAATCCTAAGGATATTAAAATCTATAGTAAATCCAAGACATTGAGATGAGCTCTTCTGTTAGATACTATTGTTTCTGATTGATAGACTGCATATAAGTATATATGGAGTATCTATTAATCATAAATCATGGGGGAATGCAAAACACAAACTGGCTTAATGTCCAGCAATATTGGAAATGCTCTTATTCTACCATAAATAGGTAGATCTCCAAAAAGGAAAGCATACCACTTTAGAGTGGTTTGTGAATCAGAATTTTTGAGATTTTAGAGTCTAAAGCATTAGTATGTAGAGATATTTCTCTACAAAAAGTAAAGCTAATTTTTCCTCTACCTTCTCCTAATTTAAGGGACAAACTCTCTGGAAATCAACATTCTTTTACTTGATTACATCAGGTCTGAATTTCATCTATAAAACCTATCTGCTCCCTAAATGATTTATAATAAATTCACTTTTATCGTTGTGGCACATTCATTTAATAAAAATGCAAATCCGTCATAGTATCCTAGGGTATTTCTTGCTCCAGCTAGCAAAGATCCAACAAAATAGAATATTGATTAATACTTTTAAAATAATCAGTTTATCAAATAGGAGGAAATGGATGTCAACTGAGGAGTTTCAACTCAGTAATTTGACCACTAGAAAAAAAAGTTATTCATAAAAATATGGGACAGCGCTAACAAAAACACTACTTGCACCACAAAAATGTGATGAGTTTGGAGTAAGTTTCTATACAGATAGAAAGTTTCTTATATGAACATTGCTTTAGGAACAGCAGGGCTGATGGAATAAGCTCATAAGAAGACACTGCTCAGAGGAAAGGCACCTAATAATGGTACAGGCAAATTTATTATAAATCACTTTAATTTCATGGACAGATAAGACAATAGTTGGCTACAAAAAAGTGCATGTTATGTTCAGAAACATGTATTTAACTAAAAATTAAGTAATGATACAAAATTTAATAAATACTTATAGTTTAAATTATTGGCACCATTCCCTTGTACAATTGGGGAAAAATAATTATCCATATCTCTGCTGAGATGTGATGAAAAATCTATTCGATTTTAATTAACTGTTAAATGGCATTACAGTTATGAACAGCGCTGTAGCCGCACAAACAGCTAACACAGGTGTCTGGGCTGCTCACCAGTTAAACAAGCATTGTTCTTTTCGTTGAAGCGCAAAAGGCAGAAAACTGATTTTGGGCGGGATCTTACTAAAATCAAAGAAAATCTTTTCATTGATTCCCATGGAACTTATATAAGACTCACCCTTTAAAAAAATCAAGTCACTACAACATTCACATAAGGTAAATACTGAAATAAAAACTTTTTACAAGAGACCTATAATGAAGTTAATTACAGGTGTCTAATTGCTATTATTTTTTCCTGATAAAAACTTCATGTATTCATTTAAAATACTGAACAGAATGAATGGGTATGAGACAAAATTTAAAATATGCAGCACAAAAATAAGGAATGCTTCTCTTTTCAGAGAATGAATTCATTTAAGTTTAGGAACTGTCTACAAGGCTTTTAAAATGGGGTAGTTTGGTATCGAAATCTTTTTAAAATGTGACAGATTAGACTTAATCTTTTCAGATTTAGAATTTATGTTAAACTGAAATATTAAGATTCTTCAACATGCTTTTTATGTGGCTTTGCCTTATAATCAATGGAATATGGTAGCTCACAAGGATAATGTTCTTCAGAATTGTGGTAATTAAGGCATTCTTATGCCTTTGAGCAATATAGGTTTTGTGGTACAAAGATAATTTAGAAACTTGATTTAGTTTTCTTAACCATGGCAGTTTAATCGAAACAAGTTTTTTTTTTATTTTTGCAGTGGCAAAGAAAAATGTAGAAAGATACTTTAAGCTAGACAATCCGTTAGAAACACTATATCAATTTAAAATTTTACTGCATAAAAATATGTAGTTTTCAAATTATTTTAATAAATTAAATATCCTTAATGTTTTAATCTCTCTCTATATATATATCTTTATATATAGATATATCCTGATAATCTATAAGAGGGTTTTATTGTAACAAAATAAATGGAATTCCAAAAGTCCCCCCTTCATAAAATGCATTTAATTATATTTTTTCATCTTCAAGAAATGTAAGAATATGTACAACTTCTCTGTATTACTATACTACCAAAACATATGGATTAAGAGTAGCAGGCTTCTGCAAACATAAGATGGCACAGTCATGTAAAAACGGAGGACAACTTAGATCTCAGATGAATTATCAATGTGGAGCATCAGCTTCTCGTTGGATAAAGAAAGGCTACTTACAATCTTCTCTCATCTACAGTAGATTTCACAAGAGGTAGAGTTCAAGTGAAAAATAAAAGAAAACTGGAATAAGGTGCATGCTCAATATTTCCAATTTGTGACTTATTAAAGATGTGGAAAAGTTTGAAAAGATTTTCCTCTTTTCTTCCAAGCAGAGTCTGATCAGGTTGTGACTTTCTTAATGTGAATCTAAATTGAATTGAAAAAAAAAATCACGTTAAAAAATCCACAATTTTCAGTGCATTACACTAATTCTTAAAGTTTTATAAAAGGGAAAAAACGTTGTAATTAATTCAAAATTCTTAGCTTCAAATATACTGATGCAATTAACAGACATCTCATATTTGATGTTTTGATTTTAAAAGGGATAAAGCAATGGTCTCCAACCTTTTTACACCCAGTATCATTTTTTAAATGATAGAACAAGCCAAGGTCTACCACCCCATCCTTCCCCCAAGACCTTTCCCCTTCCTTGAAGCCCCGCCCTCTCTATTCTCCTCCTCTTCATCACTTGCTATCCCCAACCCTTATACTGCTGCTTTTTTTTTTTTTTTCAATTCTTCTGTAGGAAGAGGTTTATCCAACATTTGGTCTGTCTAGACTGGACCAAATGTCAGAAAAACCCCTTCTTTTGGAAGCCCCCTTATTCCTCGTGGAAAGAGGAATACAGGGGTTACCGAAAGATCATGTTTGCTCTTCCACTAAAAGAAGCGGAAGAATAAACGCATCCCTGGATGCAGAGGAGTTTTTCTGGAATATCTCTGGAATCCTGAAAAACTTCTGCAGTCTAGCCATACCCACACTGGGTTGAGACAGAATGTGTAAGCTCTGGGGTGGGAATGAGGGATTTGGGTGTGGGAAGGAGTGAAAGGTGCAAGCTCTGGGAGGAAATCTGGATGCAGGAAGAGGTAGAGAAGGGGACTATGGCTCGAGGAGGGGGGTCCATGCCGGGCAGTGTTGAGATACTAAGCAAGCCATAGGCTTGTGGATGTGAGGGGGCAGGAATTTGAGTTGGGGTATGTGAGGGGCTCAGGGCAAGGTGTTCCAGTGTATGATAGGCTCAGATCTAGGGTCTGGAGAAAAGAGGGTTCCAGGATTGTTATGATGCTGTGGCCAGATGGGAGCTTGGCCCCAATTGGGAGTTTGTTGGCCACGCTTCGTTTTTAAATAAAATACTATGTCAAACACAAAAATTTTCTGCATTGTCTTTATTTATGAGAAGGGGGGGAACCTGTTTTGAGTCAGGGGTCACTAACCCACAAAAAATTCAGTTGGGGCCACACAAGTGAGATGCAAAAAAATAACTCCTCCAAAAAAACCCCAAGCCTCACTAATGTGGCCCCAACTGTGCTGGTGGGAGCAGGGAACATGGTACTAGGGAAGGGTGCTAGGGCAGGGGACAGGGTGCCAGTGGGGGCAGGGTTCTTTGGCTGGGGTCAGGAGAGAGGGAACAGGGTTCTGCAGCAGGATGCAGAGTGCCATTGGGGACAGAGTTCTACAGTTGAGGGCAGTGGACAGGGTGCCAGTGGGGAAAACGGGACAGGGTGCCGGGGGGGAAAGAGGGGAAGGACAGGGTGCCAGGGGGGGACAGAGTCCCCTGCACCTGCCTCCTCCCAGGACTTCCTCCTGCGGGTCCCCCGTTCCCCCCGCAGAGGAGGGAAGCCCTGTCCCATGCCCCCTGTGGGGCTGGCACACGCCTCCCGCGGAGCAGGGAAGCCTCCGCACATGCATCCCCTCTGGGGCTGACTCCCCCCACTCCTCTGTAGAGAAGGGAAGTCCCAGCGTGCGCCTTTAGGGACTCCCTCCAAGTAAGCTCCCGGCACGCCACAGACCTGGGGCAAGGAAGCAGCCAGCACATTTCCGGAACCCCCGGAAGTGACACACAGCTCAGGACTTCCGTCCACCCAGCAGGAAGCTGCCACTACCTCCATTGTCGCTGGAGGTAGGTAGTGGGGCTTCTTGGGGGTGAGGGGAAATGGGGGGCCCGGAATGCCTCGTGATTGACGGGTTGGTGACCACAGGGATAAAGGATACAAAATCTCACCTCATTCAGAATTGCCCAGACTGGTGAGTTTTGTATTACTGAAAGCCGAAGTGATGAAATAGGGTTTAGACTTGGATCAACTGTCCCTTCTGCTATACCACTTTCGAATTTACCTTTAAAATGAGCAAAAGCATATCCTGAATAAACAATCTCCAGACAAATATGAGATCTAGTTTGTAGAAAGACTTCTAAATAGTGAATTCAATAGTGAATTCAATAAATGGATTTTCAATGCTATAGTCATGAATTTGCTGCAGTAATTCACCATAAATAAGGTTGAGGGTTTTGTTTTGGCTTGGCTTAAACCTAATAGTAGGAGGATAGAACCTTATACCACCACCCAAAAATCTGCCATAATGTCTGAGCTCTTTGCTTCCAGCTTCAGCTTTTCATTGGCAAATGCTGCAGTACATATATCCTCAGAAAACTGATTATGCAGCAGAGGCACTAATAAGGAATTAAAAATCTTATTCAGTGTCATTGGGTAGGGGGCTCAATACTTCTGAAAAATCAAGCCATTTTTGGGTAGGAAACTAAATGTTGATTCAGAGGTCTAGTTTTAGGCAACCAACTTTTAAATTTTGACATATTTAGTATATTCAAACTACATTCAACATTTATAGATATTAGCAGGACTCGCCAAGTGGCGGCAAGCCCTGCTCACCAGCCACGCGGAATCGCACGCTGCGCATGTGCAGACCGTGTTGTGCGGCCACGCCGGGCTAAAATCTACTCGCCACGGGCAAGTAGATTACAGTAATTGTCGAGCCTTGGATATTGGTATTCCCTACTGGTAGAAACTTTTGAGTATATCAAGATGAATAAATATGATGATGTAAAGGGTACTAATAGACTAAAATGAAAACTTTAGCTATACTTTTAAAAGTGATTAATAAAATCCTTTTCACTTTGTCCTAGGAATATTAGATATCAGGTATTTGAATAGCCATGTAATCACATAAAATCTTATTGGTTACACAACTATTCTATAGTCTCCAGGGGCAAGGCTGGCAACCAGTGCACTCCGGCCCCACACCCGGGGAGCTCCCTGCCACCCTGCGCTGCTGCCTCTATATTAATTTTTAAAAAAGCTCCCCATACGGACTGGCTGCCTGCTGCCCTATATCAGGGGCCACAGCATGGGGTGGAAGGCAGACTCTGTCCACAGGTGGACAGAGGCAGCATGCGGAGCAGCCTCTGTCCATGGGAAGCTTGGACCCCTGCAGACGGGGTACTACCGTGACGCAGCCTCTGCCCATGGCAGGCCCAGGCCTGCGACAGCCTCCTCTGCCCCCCAGCCTCCTTTGAAGACAGCTCCTCCTAGCACTGACTCAGAGGCAGCAAGGGGGGGAATGCGAGTAGTTGACAAGATTAACTGATAAGCCTAGGCTTACTGGTTAATTGTCTAGTCACTACTCATTGACATCCCTACCTTGTTCAGTAAATCTAACTGAAAAGGGCAAGTAACATTTACAAGGTGAGTTACCCAAAGTGAATGACTGAAAACATATGAAGGCTTTTAAAACAATTTTTTACTAATTGACGTAGTAATAAAACACTTCTATTTCATTTGTAAAAGAATCAACACCACTATTCTATGGTAAAGAGTTTTACCTATCCTGAAATAACCATCCTCTAAACGTTTGTCTTTGGTTTCTTTGCTTAATACCAAGTCTTCATTCTAAAATAAAACAGTCACGAAACAAAATTAGAACACTTATTCAGCATATACCTAACCATTTATAAGTTAGAGCAAAATGTTTCATTTCAGCTATTCAAATGTGAATTTTTACAACAGGGATCAGCAGCCTTCTGTCAATCTTATGGCAGTGCGTTAGGGATGTGGGGGTGTAGGAATCTGGGTTGGGATTCATGAGGGGATCAGGGCAGGGGGTTTGGATGTAGGATTGGCTCAGGGCAGAAGGTTGGTGTGGGGGGGTGCAGGAGCGTTATGGCAGGGGGCTGTGGTATGAGGGGCTTAGGGCAGGGATATATGATGGGCTCAGGACAGGGTTGGTGTATGGGTGGGGTGCTGGAGTTTTATGACGGGACTAGGGATGTGGGGGTGCAGGAGTCTGAGGATGTGGGGGTATGAAGGGCTCAGGACAGGGGGTTCAGATGTATGATGGGCTCGGGGTTGGTGTGTGTGGGGGGGACTGCAGGAGTGTTATGATGCTGCAGCCAGATGGGGGTTGGGCCCCAACTGGGGGTGTGTCAGCCAGGCTTCATTTTAAAATAGAGTAAAATATTATGTCCAGCACAAAAGGTTTCAACATTGTCTTTATTTATGACAGAGGTGGGGAACCTTTTTGGGGTTGGTGGCCACTGAGTTTGGGTGAAGGAGGCAGTTGTGATCTGTGGCACGGGATTGAGGTGCAGAGATTTAGACTGTGACCTAGGACAGGATGGGGATGTGACTTAGGACAAGGAAGTGGGATGCAGGGGTTTGGATTATGACCTAGGGCAGGAGGGGACTATGATCTGGGGCAGGGGATTGGGATGTGGGGTAGGGGATTGGGATGCAGAGTCTGAGGGGAGGTATTGGCTCAGGAGGGGGGGAGGGTTTGGCTCATGTGGGAGGGAGGCAGAGGGCTGAGGAAAGGGAGGAAGGGGTGGGCTGGGGTGACAGAGGCAGGATCTACCCGGGAAACTTAGCAATGAGACACCAGAGCAGCAACGCAGAACATTTCTCAGGAGCCTGTCCTGCCCCTGCCTACGCTGCATGGCCATGTGCTCTGTTAATAAGAGCTTGAGGGGAGGGAGGATTGGTGCTTCATGTGCTGCCTGTTCTTGAAACAGGCAGCTTCCATTGGCCAGAAGCCATCCAATGGGATTGTGTTAGGGGTGGAAGGAGTAATGAAGCACCACTCCCCTCCTCTCTCCCACTCACAGTTTGGCCCCACAAATGTTCCTCTGAGCAGTGTGTGGAGGCGAGTCAAGCAGGGGAATCTGTGTCTGCAGGCTTAATTGTTTTGTCCAGGCCTGCTGTAGCACCAGCACACGGGCTCCCTGCGGAGTGAGGGGGGGAGGGGAATAAGGGAGGTCTGAGCCTGAGCTTCAAGACAGCCATATCTGGTTCCCGTGTGAGCCATATTTGCCTTGCGAGCCATAGGTTGCCAACCTGTTTTACAGTGTTGTAATTATAGTGGTCCCAGAGAGGAGTTATGGGAGGTTGCAAGATTATTGTAGGGAGATTGTGGTACTGGTGCCCTTATTTGTTTGCTGCTGCTGGTGGCAGCATTGCTTTCAGAAGTGAGCAGCTAGAGAGCAATAGCTGCTGGCCATGAACCCAACTCTGAGGGAAGAGCTGCTGCCATCACCAGTAGCAGCACAAACGTAAAAATTGCGTGGTATGTTATTGCCACTGTTACTTCTGCAATGTTTCCTACAGAGCTGGGTCCTCAGTCAGCAGCTGCCCAGTTCCGAATGCAAGACAGGATTAAGGGTGGCAATACTGCAACCTTCCCTACAACAGCCCTATGATACCACCTCTCCTGCAACTCCCTTTTAAGAGTTTTTCATTATCATAAATTTGGTAGGGCCCTAATTCATGACACATGTCATATGTTAATCTTAAAAAAGGTCTAGCCAATCTTCCTGATATATACACAAATAAATCAGATATGTTCATTGTACTTCTATAGATGGTTTTTGTTCTCATCTGCAGTTTCAGGAAGCAGGATCAGATACCATTCACCCACCATGATGGGGCTGACTGCTTGTTCTACAAACAACATGTTTCAAAAGGTTTGTAACTCTTGAGCAATACACCAGTAGCTAACTTATATGGGGACATCCAGGAAAATTAATCAAAATTACTAAAACATGATTCTGAAGTAGTTTAGTTACATAGCACATTAAATCCCTATATGGATTAATTATTCAGAATTAAAGCAGCCTTAATGCAATGTAGTTTAATTCACTTTGGAAGTGAATGTGATTCAGCTAATCCACTTCAAATTCACACCTTTAGTTAATTCGGATTAATTTTTCTGGATATCCACATGTAGACGAGTCCTCAGGTCACTTTTTCAAACTTTTCTCTAATCACAAGGGCTAGAATATTATTTTTTGTTTTCCTTTAAAAAAAGCGAATATCCTTATTAATCACTTGACTCAAGATACTAGGGATTTAAGAAAAACACTATGGCAAGACAAACGATAAAATCACAAGAGTTGGCGTTGCATTTTAGCCCCTTTTATGGACTTCTAGTTGTCTTTCTGTACATCTCGGAGCTTTACTTAGATATGTAAAAAGTATGATTAAATGCAAACTATTAAAATTAATTTTAATAATGTTTAGAACTGTAAACATGATAAAGGGGAAAGGGAGATCAAGATACAATCTGATTTACAACACCCTTTACCTGCTCCTGTCTGAAATGTTTTCTCTCTTCCACATGACTTCCAAGATAAAGCTTGCAAACTTAAATCAAATTAGCTTTACCCAGTAGAATATAAAGATAAGGAGCTAAATTGAATTCTAATATTAGCAAGTTCAACTCTGTTTTGTATCTCTTTTTGCTGGTTCTGAATATGGCTAAAGATATTTCCAGTATGAAATAATGCAGCTCTTAAAATAACATTTGCATTTTGATAAGTTACTTTTTTAAGTTTCACTTTTAAAAATATGTTTATACATTTGGCCTCTTCCAATACAAGAAAATGGGAAAAAAGAATATCTTGTTTTGATTAAAATTGTGAAGTATTTTCTCACGAGTGTTGAAGGTAGGATTTATGAGAGAGACAGGTAGGGTAGAGAACAATACTAAGAAGATCACTGATCTGATATAATTTTGAATAATCATGTTAATCTTCAGACACGGTACTCCTCGTGGAACTCCTCGTGGAACGAGGTGTACTGGTAGTTCGGATTAGAGAGCCTAATCCGAACTACCTACTCCGTGCCGCGTGTAGCCGCGGGCATGGAGTCCGAACTACCGGGGCTTTAAAAATGGCGGCGTCCGGTAAGATGCAAATGAAGCCCAGGATACTTAAATCCCGGGCTTCATTTGCAACTTCGGTTGCCTACATTAACCACCCTAGTTCAAACTAGGGTGGTAGTGTAGACATACCCTTTGTGAAATAATGTCTTTGTTGTTGGAATAGAAATGTTTATGGTGAAAGACTACAGATTCTCCTTTAGGTACAGTGATTAGAGTCTGACTTCAGTCTGGAATTGACTTCATTTACCGAATTGCCATTTTGAGGTAAAATCCAGGCTGTTTGTGTAAAAGGAATATAAAGTTTTAGACTCTGTTCTATTAACTTGACAATTTGGATCCCACAATATCTGCTTAGCTTGATTTATTGCCAAGATCTTTAAGACTGGACAGCATGTGGATGAAAAATGGGGAAGCAGAGTGAAGTCAATTCCTCCAAAATCCAACTCTTAAAATATAAAGTACCAGCTACTAAGCAAAAGTAGATAAGTAAATGCTGCTCTCCTCCTCCAGATTACCTATTTCCCTTTTACCAAACTTTACTCTGAATGAAAGTCTGCTCTTTGTTAATAAGGTCTGTTTAAAGTAAAGTGAAAACTTATCACATTATTTCTATTCCAATAAGACAGACACCTATATTTTCCCAACCCAATGATGTCATTAGAAATTAGGAGTTTTGCTTTCACTCTAATGTAAAAAGGAGAGATATTAATATAGTCATACCTTAAAAGGCAGAACATCTACTGTAGTATTTAGCAGTATATCTCCTGGATGCTCTGGGTTGCCACTATGAAATAAGTATCTGTAAATACAAAATTAAACATAAATGGTCTGCACATCTCAGTCACTATTGGCTTAATAAGAAACATTAAACAATATTATGGAAGTGCCACTGGAAGATGATCCCAGTGCAACTATGAAAATCAACTGAAAATTAGTTTCACACACTAATGTACAGGAAAGTTCTGCTTTAATGGAAGGTACTGAGTTTTTAAAAAGTGACCAAAGGTTTTTTTTTTTTAAACAGATTTAAGTATTACTAGAACTTATACCTAGGAAAAGAGTCATATAAAGCTGGTCTTGACACCTTAGAGTTATCCTGTACGACAAAGGGGTCTGGGAGGGAACATGGTCCATTTAATAGAACATAGGATTGGGAGTCAGGAAAATTCAATTTATTAGCTCTGCTGCTGACCAGTTCTGTAACTATTGGCAATTCACATAGCCCACTGCAACCCATCTTTCCCAATTGCAAAATTAATACTAAACTCCTTCCATAACAGACTGACATCTACAGATGAAAAATGCTATATGGTAAATGCTGTTGTCGTCATATGGAAATTTGCTGATCATAGCAAAAGCTACTGAATAAGCACTAACCAAAATCACAAATTCCAACAACAAGGCTACATAGTTTATTAGCATAATTGTATTTACACATCTGTGTTCATAACTATAATGTACAGTAGGACTTTACACCAAATTGAGCCGCCTATGATCGATTTTCTAAATGATGTGTCCACGCTACCAAGACTGTTGCACCGGCCTATGGGGCCAGTGAAGTTTATTCCTGTATTCCTGCTCTTCATCATGTGCATCTTTCAGAAGAGGCAGGCATTCTGAAAGATGCGTGCATCATGAACCTTTCCCAACCATTCCATGTGTATGTCAGTGAAATGGCCCTTGTGATCCACCAGTGCTTGCAGAACCATGGAGAAGTGCCCCTTCTGGTTGATGTACTCCAAGGCAGAGTAGTCAGGGGCCAGGATGCGGAATGTTCCATCTATGGTCCCACCGCAGTTAGGAAGTCCATTGTAGCAAAATCATCCACTATGGTAGGGGTTGGCAAAAGGGCCTCCACAGGCCGGATCCGGCCTGCCAAATGGGTGGATCCGGCCCGCGGAGGCCCTGCTGCTCCGCTGCCCCCAGGCCAATTAGGGCCTGGGGGACATGCAAAGCCTTATCCGCGTTGCCCCCACACTGTGAGCAGCATGTGGCACCTGAAAGCACTGCCTGCTCCTAGCAGGGCGGGAGGAAGCTTTGCATGCTCCCCCGCCCCCAGGCCTTAACTGGCCCAGGGAGTGGAGTGAGGGAAGTCTCCCACATCAGGGGCATGGGCACTTTGGGGGAACGTGGGGTGGGCAAAGGCACTCCCCTCACCCCTAGACCAATCATTGTCTGGGGGTGGGGAACCCAGAAATATCTTGGCTCTACCCCTTCCGCTCAGTGCCCACCCCTTTTACTTGATGTCCTGCCCCTTCCTGTGTGGCTCCCAGCAAAAAATTATTGCCCACCCCTGCACCATGGTGTCCACATTCTCCAGAGTCATAACCCTCCATAGCAGAATGTTATTTGATGACCGTGGCTGCTTGTATGACAAGAGCCCCAACTGTACATTTCCCCACACCAAACTGATTCCCGACTGACCAGTAGCTGCCTGGCATGGCAAGCTTCCATAGGGCAATTGCCACACACTTCTGCCTGGTCAGAGTGCATCTCATGCGGGTATCCTGGCACCTCAGGGTAGGGGCAAGCCATTTATAGAGTTTCAGGAACATGGCCTTCCGCATATGGAACTTTTGCAGCCATTGCTGATTGTCGCATCTCTGCATGACGATGCAGTTCCAGTAGTCTGAGCTCATCTATGGATGCCAGAACCAGTGTTGCACTGTGTCCATAACACTGACTGGTAACTGTGCTAGCATGAGTGACAGGCCTTGCCTGAGCAGGGTCTCTGTGTCATGTCAAACTTTGTGCTCGTTCTCCTGTGGGTGGAGCAACACGGTGCTTTACTTCAAAAGCATACACAAGTCACTTCATGACACACATGATTGACACACAATGCTTCCCAGCACACACTGCTCCATGCTTGCTGTACTCTTGCATCCACACTGGCAATCAGGGCACCAAAAGGCACGAGTATACTGTGTCCCCTTTATCTCGTGCAAGAGGGGAAGGACTAGAGAAGTGCCTTATGGGACACAGACGACATGAACCCCTCTAATCACCTGCAGCAGAGTTTTAGACCCAGTGGACACTGAAAGCATAGCCCAGACTGCTAAGCTACCCATGAGCATCACTCTCTGAGTCAACAGCAGGCTCCAGAATGAGGACATGCTACTTCGGAAAACATTCGATTCTTGCCCATAGTGAAGACATGCCTTCTCAAAATTGGGTGCCCAGAAATCGACCAAGATAGATTTTACCTTTTCTCATAGTATAGACATGTCCTAATTTCCTACCAGATCTAGGTAAGGAACTTTGAGTATCATAGCTAAGTGCAAAATGGATTGTTTAGCATAAGTAGTTAGCATGTATTATAAGAGATCATTCAACATGAACTGGCCAATTAATATCCCCTGAAGTCACAGGTTAGCAGAGCACCATAGCACCCATGGCTGGCAGCACATCCACACAAGCCTAGGTGCACGTAACATTTATTCTGCTCCTGGATGGAAAAAATTAGAGGGAACACTAATACCGAGCACCCACTGGTGGGGCCTCTCCACTCTTCGGCACTTCCTCCTAGCAGCTGGCCCCACTTATCAGCTTGTCCCTGTCCTCCTCCCCACATTGCCTCTGGCAGCAGGCTGGAAACACTGGGGGAGAGGAGAGCAGAAGGCACACTTGAGCTATGCTCGGCCCACATGCCAGGAGTGGAAGCAGTGGGATCACCCACTGAAAGTCTGTGGAAGCAGAGCTGGGTAGGGAGCAGAAGCCTCAGGTAGCTGCTGGGCACAGCTTCAGAGAAATGACTGAGGGGGGCTGGCATTAAAAATGGCTCCCCACCTGCCCCACACTTAAGAGTCCTGCCTGTCAGCGAGAGTGGGAGAACATACTGGGGAGTGGGGGGAGGGAATAGGTATAGTGGGAGGACAAAGCACCTCCCCAGGTACCTTGAAACAGTGAGAGCACATGGTGGCCCCAGGTCTGTACATGTGACCGGTCATTTCAAATGTGCCCCCACCCCCACTAAAGGGAAGCACCAGCTGAATATGGAGCCCCCTTGGAGGAGGGGGCAGAACAAGGGCAGGAAAAAGCAGGGTGGAGTAGACATGGGGGAAGATGTGGAGCGGAGCAACAAGCACCCCCCAGGAAATCTTTGGAAGTCAGCACCTATGACACAGCTGCATGTGTAGTAAGTTGAGGATCAGTAACATGGAGTCAGCAGGCTGAATAGAGGCCTGTAACATGAAAGCAGCAACAGGCCTAGAATCTAGTAAGCAAGACTCTGGTTCAGGAACACAGGAGCCAAGAAAGAGGCCCTACCGATAACTGTGTGATTGTGTAAGTTAGGTGAAGCATGGAAGGACACAGGGAAGCACCAAGTACAGACTGTAAGCCAAAGGGAGTAACGGAACATCTTAAGAAGAAATGTCTTGGTACAGACTCCCCAAAAACTAATGCACATACAGACCTAGGTTCAGGACCAGGTCAGACCTGACAAGATGACGAATAGAAAGTAAGCCCCTTTTGCATAAGGTGAGGGGTGGTAACTAGGCAGCAGAAGGTGATAACCTGGTACGTAAAGAAATTATGTAAGTTGTTTGTACCTGTCTATAAAAGGACATTGCGAAGGGTGCTCTCCGGCCGACCGGGGGTAAGGGGGGGAGGGCGGGTGCACTAGGCGCCTGAACGGCAGGGGGCATTGCCTAAACTTACAGAAAGCAAAATCTTAATATCTGTTATATGGCAATAGGCCTGCTCGGTGCTGGTACCTTGTCAACGCAGGCCATAATGCACAGTGGTGTAACATTGTACTGATCACTGTTACCAACTGTTAGAGCTTCGTATTTGATAATAAACCTGCTCGACTGATTTCAAACCTTGCCTGCATCTATCGTTTCCGGGGCCTCTCAGAGATCTCCTGTGTTGACCCAAGTGCACGGGGGTCTAACACTCTAGATAAAGGGAGTACCGATTGTTAAGCACGCAGCCGAAAGTTTATCACCACCGATGGCGTAAAGGTCCTGTCAGAAGCGTTCCAGGACGATCTGGACAAGACGACTAACACTGACAGTTCAGACCGCCAAAGGTACTGAGGTACAGAACACCGAAGTACAACAGCATGCAATACTGCAAGCATTCCTTTTAACACTGAGTTTAAAACACACACTATGTGAATGAGAAACAACAGCATTTTTTACCACTAGATGGTATCTATTAATAGCTTGGGAATTTATTAAAGCCATTCATTTATATTAACAGAAAATAGACTACTTTCCTAAGATTATTGTCTGGGCAGCTGCTTATAAAAATGACATCTCAATACACCTAATTTAACAGGCTTTTGTTATTCTTAATGAATCTAAATAAATATGATGAAAAATCTTTGAACACTGAAGCCCTCATTTCAACTGAAATGTAAAGTAAGTACCTAACACACTACATTCACATGACCCAGTTAAAACTAATTCAAGAATTATCAACTAAAATTATGAAAAAACCCCACTCAATTTATTTTAATATAATCAGACATTAAATGTCTAATTTATTATTTACTGTGCCTAGAGCTGGATAAGTAGTTGTCATTAATCCACATAATCTGGAAGGGTTTTTTTTTTTTTAATTTTTTTTGCTGATCAATGATCCTTACAAAAAATCTTCACTAACAGAAAGAGGAAACGTGTTCTCTCTAGTCCTGATTAGGGATGTAAGCGACTAGTTTAATAATCAATTACCTGATAAGCATAAGTTTATCAGGTAGCTGAATCACTACTTGACTAGTCACTTCTTCCTCCCCCTCACTTAGGGGAGCAGGAGCCAGTGCTGGGGGGAGTTGTCTTAAAAGCCAGTCTCCCC